TGATACGTCGGCTCTGGGTGGCCAGTTGCTATGCATCGGAGATGTAGATCTTGACCTTGGCGGACCTTCTCGTTTAAACGTGAAGATGAACCAACCAGGATACCAGGGGATGCTAAGTCGTTTGAAAACGCAACAAAATGCAGCAATTTCCCACCGTAAAAAAACATAACAAATTTAATCCTAAATAACTATTCTTCGGTGCCTGTTCTTTCATGAATGCAAAAATAAGTTAATTCGACCCAATCTAATACACAAAAAAGCACAATTACGTTGTGCAAACATTCGCTATGCATGATACTCATGCCCACCTACTATAACCTGAGATAAAAATCAGTCGAAATCCATTAACACTAGCACGAATGAGCGAACATATTTGGCAGGCACCTACTGACCTACTATTTGCACATGTTAAGAAACAAAATCTATCTCCTTTATGCGGGATCAATCGGCCTGTGCTTAGACAAGTGATTATTGAATGACCGAGTGAAGTATGGTATAATTAAGAATTTCTAGCACCGCATTCACTTACGAAGATGTGAATACGATGGCGTTTCATTTCCCAGTGAGCATTGAAAACAAATAATGTGATTATTATGCATTTAAGTCCGAATTTTGGGAAGTACTGTCTTTTAAAATGTGTACTTATGTCCAGAGACAAGTTTTACTTAGTGTAATAGATTCAGGGTCGCATTTTGGGTAATTTTGACGCCTGACTAAAAAATAGTGTCCACACTGAGTTGAGTTCATTAGAGATTTACACTTGAGGTAAAAAATACAACTTGAATATTCAGTAACATACTTAATTGACAAATTGTACGCAGAAGCACTTTAATCCATGACACATGACATTCAATGCATTTATCCTTTCAAAAACTATACGTGATACCGTTTATCCAACCCCACGTGCCAGCCAATCAACAGTTAATATGATGGCACGATCATCTAATTGGTGAATGAACAATGGTGACCACGAAAAGGGGTTAGGTTTAAGTATGGACACCATGATCGTGACGGATTGACGTGGTCTGTTTTTTTTCGTTATAGAGGCATTTGTAATTAATACACTACGCCCTTTCTAATCAACGCGCTCTGCTGTTGCTAACGCAATTGTTAATTCCGATCCCAATTCACCAAACATTGATAGAGTTTTGAATGCGTTTCGGCATACTTTAGATGTCCTTTTCAATAGTTTTCATTATTTCTGCTTAAAAATGAAATAAAATGTTGTGTGATAAATTAACTGCAACTCACAAGTGACTTCCAGGTAATAAGTAAGATCCCAATTGCCGGGAATATTCTCAGCCTCACACTTGTATTGACCTTGATCCTCCGGCTGTACTTCATAAATTGTCAGGGTTGACTCGTCGGCAGAAAGTGTGAATCGATCTAAAGAAATGATTTTGTGGTGGATTTATCCATGCGAATCGTCTTTCCTGGGCCAAAATCAAACGCTTGGGTCCAGAACCCTCCGAATTCTTTTTTGAAGTAATGGAGATGACGACAGCAGATTCCACTGTCAAGAGCATGCATTACACTTCGTATTTTGATGGCTTGTGCTTCCACGTGCGATCGAAAGCCATTAACGTGTCTCAAACCAGTGCTTTACTGAGAGTTGTCATGTTATAAGCTAGAGTATGTACAAACTGGTAAGAAGAAAGGGGATCGTGAAGCTGTGAGAGTCAATCAGTCACGTATATTCAAGAGCTAATGGCCTCTAGAACCCTACGTGTGTTGGGACATTCAAAATCGCATGGGAGCATAATTTATGGGTCAGTTCGAGATGCAACTAGCCGCGACTACAAAAAATGTACATTTATGCATACTTTATTGTGAATATTTCGATTCAGTTTAGTAAAAAAGGTAAATTTTAATGAGTCTTGTTGATTACTAATTGATGCTAATAATTTCTTTCAGTTTTCATTTATTTTACGGCAGGGTATGAAAAGTTCATTATGCTTATAACCAGACTAGAAAGTATTTTCAAGTCCTTCATTCTCTTTAAACTCATGAACTACGTAGGGGTTATTCAGTTTAAATTTGGACATCTTAGACGGCAAGCTGGTGTTTTGAGTGATACAGTGCACTCTGAAATTTTAAAAATGCCAGTGAGGGAATATGGCAAGTAGTCTTGATTATGCTAACCTTGGGGCATAGCGGAAAATATCTCAACGCCATCCTTATACCACTTAATTTTCGGAGGAGGATTCGACGTGAGTTTGCAGGTGAACGTGATGTTGCCACCCATCATAGTTGTTGTGATGTTCTGCGATATCGGTGGCTCCCCGGACGGTTCTAGTAAAAACGCGACGGGGAAAAAATAAGGTGATGTGAAACAACAAAGGGACTGTGTGCTGGGATGGTTATTAAGCCAGGGTTTACTAGTGTGATTGGATCCCCTTAGAAAGTAAAATCTCACCTGGATTTCAGTTATCCAGATGCTGCTACTCGTACAGCATTAAATAAAGGAGGTTACTTTGTCAATATTTGATGCGTCTTTCCCTGAAGGTTTGATAAAAGTGGAAACTAAAAATAATGACACTTCTTGTCTAGACTAACTCACAAATGCGTGAAAATAAAGCGCTCTTAGGAAGAATTGAGTCCTTTTTGCACACATCTTATTTCGTTAATTAGGAAACAAATGTCAAAGTCAAATCCTATCTTGTATGCCGACAGCTTACTTCAGTGTTTCTTTTAAAGTTAGATTTAACGCACAAATTATTTTGACTTTGGATGATGAGAAAATTAGCTACTCTTTTACTCTTTAAGTAACAGCAAATAAAACTTGAGGAAAAAATTGTTGGTCATACTTTTATTGTGTCAAAGCTCTGATAGTTGCAAAGAATTCCCCTGGAAGTTCGGTTGACCATTCATACAGGCCTGTAAGTTTACTTTATCGTGTTCGCATCGCGAAGTCTATTCGTCGTAAACGCTTTAAATATGGGGTTTTAAGATATGCTGCCTACAAACTCAGTTCAATAAAGTTGACTAAGCAGTCATGTGATGGTATTGAAATATGGCACTTCACTAAACACTTCACAAAAACTACGTTCCCATGACGAATGAATCTGACCGATGCTATTACACGGTTATGGGAAAAATTGCTGAATTAAATAGGTGGAATAAAAAGTGTACTTACCAAAAACTGTAATTGTTGCAGTCTTGGTGTCACGTCCGGCCTCGTTTTCGGCGACGCATGTATACTCTCCCCCGTGAAAGGGCTGTGCATTGTGTATCATCAAGTTCCCATCTCCAACGAGTCTTCATTAACAAATGTCAAATATCCGGTTAACTCTCATTTTCAGTTGCTTGTAAGTAGAATTAAGGCCAATATCCACGCCCCCGTGTGTCCCACCATGCACAACGTCAACTTAAACCGACTTGCGACCGAGTTTAAGGTGGATTTCTCAGAAATGTGTTAGTGCTGAATGCGTATGTTTTTATTTTTATGTCCCACTTTCAGGTGTTGGTAATTACCTTTACAATTATACCTATTTGTCTTATCTGCTTCCAGCTACGTACCAAAATACCCGCACGTTAAACGATTTGGCATTTTATTCCATCATACCAAGGTTTAAATTGCAATAACTACCGTTAGAAACAGGCATATTTTTAGCATTTTATTTCGACCAAAGCTCTTAACACAACATTGCGTTGTCTCGCTAAAACTCACTTAGAAATCGGGAAGAAATTATATCTACAACAACAAGCGTACACAAACGTTGAAAGGCCCTATAACTTTTCGACTTAGAATGACCTGGCATTATAAAAATGCAAATAATTGGGTTATGTCTGTGTAAAACACGAACCTATAACCAGGCATCTCATTTGGGATTATTTTCATTCCTTGGAACCACCAGGATACATTTGGTTTCGGTGTTCCCGACGTCTCGCAGGTCAGTGTTATCGTGTTGTTTAGGAATACGACCGCTCTCTCGCCAAAGTCCGTGATCACCGGTTCGCCTAAGGAGGAATGACCAGGGTATCAATTCGCTCATGCTAAATCAAACGCTATTAGTCACGTTTTTTGGGAATATAATCAAACTCACTTAGAAGAATAACTTCGTAATCCACCGAAGTAGAGCCACCACGATTCTTGCCAACGCAGGTGTAACTGACAAAAGAATATACGATTCATGAACAGAACTAACAAAAAACCCTTTGATTTTAAAAAGGCTTTTAGCCTAATTTAATGGAAAACAATTTTGAGACTAAGTAGTGCTCTAGGACACATAAAGCTTGAGCACACTAACGCAAATGGGTGTACCACATTCGTTATTTAGATCACCACGAGTAATCAAGGGCTTAGTTTGTCCGATAATGGCTTCTGCCTGCCAGTGACCGTAGGAAGGTCGGAATAGGTGCATTTAACTGAACCTGTCCAAAATGTCCTTCTGATGGAAGCGTTTTCCAAACGTGGATATATGTTCAAACTGAATGCTTCATGGCATAATTGTTTTGTCAAAAACAAAGTTTAAATACCGCATATTTTTTTGAAAAAGTAAGGATAAAAAAGCAGATGACTACTACTCTAATGACATTGGAATTTATGCACATCGCTTCTTAAGCTTTACTGAGGGCCTCTGCAGGACCTAATAGAAACTCAGCTGGTAAAGTGAAATCGGTCAGTACATTTCGAGTGTTGTTATCATGAGTTCCCATAATTTGATAAGCGAGGATCGTGATTTGTTATCTTCATTGTTCAGACAAAAAATTCCATAGCAAATCAAACTTATACCAAATAATGTCGAATTTATATCCATACGGTGGATATGGGATAATAGCAGGTCAACATCGAATGTGAGCAAATAAAAACTGTTTGTTCTAACACAAAATTGAGGTACTACTCACTTCCCCTGAAGTTCTCCGTTCATGTACATGATTGTGAGCTGCGAGCTGCCTTCGCGTGGTGGTCGTATTGACATCCCAAGGTCGCCAAGTTTATCGGCTTCCAGTGGACGGGTATTCCAAGTCCACGAAATCTCTGGTTCTGGAAAACCAGCCATTGCGCATTCAAGGTCTACACGTTCTCCGGCACGGACCAACAAACGGCGACTGGCGTGCGTTGACGTGTAGGCTGGCGGAACTATTAAACAAGTTTCGCAATTATGAGTTCGTTACTTGGCATTAAAAAATGCCAAGGTGTATCATAATAACTTACCCAGTACAGTAACTTGGTAGAATCGCGAATCCGAACCAACTTCATTTTGGGCTCGACATTCGTACGATCCTGAATCCTCCTCCCTTTCTCCTCGAATTTCCTTGTAAGTTAAAATAAGTTGGCAACACCGTTCTACTTCATCGTCAGAATAAATCTGCTTTGATTAGCGAGATTACTATAAAATCTCAACCTGGAGTACACGTTCTAGTCTTTTTATCTAAATGATATTAGCTCATTACAAAAAGTGGATTTGGCCAGTCAGACACGGCAAATATTGTGCTCGACTGCTTAGAACTAATTTTTGAATTTCACCACTACCCATCCGGTTAGACACAACTGTGTCTTCCGTTAAGCGCCACATATTATATGCAACTGCATTCATGTAGCCTGAGGCATCATTTTAGCTATTTTTAACATAATTTTTCACTTGACGAAAATTGTGTGCTAGTGTCCAAGTAGACCTACATCCTAAGAACACTCTTATGTAAATGTCGTTCTCGAATTTCCTGTTGAGAACTCTGACAAGAACTATTAATAACACCGATTAGATACACTAGGAATTTCTTTCAAATTTTCAAGTGGCTAAGATGATTGCTTATGCCTTCAATTGGTTTTTAGTCCAAACTACGCGTGGTGTGTAAGGATATTCAGCGATGCGTACCACTAGTTGCCCACCTAACTTGGGATCAAAATGACCTGTGTCAGATGGGGTGAATATCATGGCGTGCAAATATTATAATTCCAATTATTTCGTACATTAGCTCGAAAACAAAACGCTGTCATACCATGTAGCTTCTTTTCCAATTTGACTGAGATAACACAAACGAAAAGTACAAAGGAAATCATCAAGAATGCAATGAAAAAAACTGTCAAAAATTATTTCCTCCCAGAACTTTCCTCCAATCAGGTACTGTTCTAAATCCCTAGTTTTACTTACGACACTTTGTCCATTATCGACGAAGTGAACGCGACCAGGAATCTCCACCAATGGCTGGCCGTTCTTGAACCATTGGATGGTTGGTTGCGGGTAGCCGTAGCTGATCATGCAGGTCAAGAGCGTCATCTCGTTTTGTGCTATCTCCACTTCACTTACACTTTCCTTGGAGATCCCCGGCGGTGCTATAAACAAAAAATGAAGATTTAATCGTGTCAGGCGCTATAACGAATTTTATTGATAAAACTTAAATCGAGAGGAAACTTCAAGCTAGGTAGGCTTCTCGCCTTGACTCTTTGAATCACTCAATCAACAAATACTTTACATCATTATCATTTATCATTAAATCCACTGAAAATCTTAATTTGCGTACATTGATAAAGTGTCTGGGTTGTCAGCCGCTAAAAGCATGGATTCTCGTGTGGTTCGTGAACGAAATGTGGCTGTTGTCGCAAGTTCACGCGTGTTTATTTTTCCGCCCTACTACACGCCTAAATTACGACGCGCTAACCACAATCTTCGCGCCGTCGCATCACAAACGGGTTGAAAGGCGCACCCACCGCCCCCGCGCACATCGTGCGCACCTGTAGCCCGCTTCCCTTCGCTAATGCGCCTCCGACAGCATATCGACCGACAACGCCAGTCCCTAATTCCTTTTTCACACCGGTGCATAAGTGTTCAATACCAGAGTAACGCAACTTGGTTCATCACGTCTCGCTATAGATGAAAACGAGCAGTATGGTGGACCAAGCAATTTCGATGAAACATTATTTCTGATGTGTGTACAAATGTTCGAAGGCTAAACGAGAAAGAATTCACCAATGCCACTTACTCTTCACCGTAACCTGAAAGTCCTTCGAGACTGAGCCATGGGTGTTCATGGCGGAGCAGGTGAAAGTGCCACTAATGGCTTCATTCACAGAGTAGACTGTGAGAATTTGCCCGTTGGGTGAGAGCACAACACCGCCAGCCCCGCTGAAGGAGCCCCTTTTGGGGGTAATAAGCCGGCCGTCCTTACGCCATTCCACCTCCGGTTTCGGGTCACCCTCAACCTCGCAGTGGAGTTCCATGACTTTGCCTTGGGTAATTTCCACCGTTGCGTGACGTGCGTCATCCTTGAATCGGGGCTTTGCTGACAAAATAATAAAACAAGGAATGTACATCTTTAAGCCCATTTTAAAACTTTATCAGTTTATTTAGCACCAAGCGTTGCACAGTGCCCTAGTTTGTGTTATTGACAAAATCAAAGAATTCCAAATTTTGAGGCTGCTTCAACTCGACGCGTCGAACACACAAACTAGTTCCTTTCCCCTAGTTTGGTTTTTCCATCAATTCAATCGCTCAACTCCGCATCACGAAAACGGCAACAGGCCCACAGCCTAGTGCCTCATATTTGCGCATCAGTGTATTGATGTTACCATATGTAACAAAGTCGATCCTTCTTATAATGGCAAACATAGACTTGTTAATTGGAATTCACTGGCATAATTTCCTGCCCATTCCCAACAGGCAGCATAGCGCAAACTAGATGGAAAACCCGGGTTAGGGTAAATTACTATCAAGGAAACGTTCAATGTTTCCTGACGATCAAAGCTCTGATTGAAGTTTTAAGTAGGGTGTATACAGGTCATGCTGATGTTTATTCATCACGAATGTGTGGATTCATTTATCCAACTTTGATACACTTTTGCCTTTGCTGCCGTGAGTCAGGATTTTAAGTCTGTCTGGGCTAAACACGGATCCTTGTATTTCTAGATGGTTTTATGAAGTTAGATTATGTGAGTGATAGTTTATGCTAACCAATGTGACCTGTGTGGCCGGATGTTTGTGACGACATTCTGGTCTGCATACAAATTTATGTTATTTGAACAATGCAAGCTCGAATTGAATGGGATTCGAGCGATGTAATTGCCTACTTTGCACGTCCAATTCGATGTCGATTTTAGATCTTCCTACAACGTTATGGGCCACGCAGGTATAGACGCCTTCATCTCCCATCTAGGACAAAAAAAACAACAGATAAAAATAATTTGTATAACAGACCAATCGGTACCTTTTGTATTCCTTAAGCTTAGTCGTTTGTCATATAACGCAACAACATTCAGATAACTTTAAAAAACCTTATACAATTTCGGTAGATTTAACAAGAGGAGCACATATCAGCTTCCCTTTGAAGTGAGGTATATTTGGGCTTGCTGGCCATTTGTTCATAGGCAAACAGTAACAATTTTGATTAAAACAAATGGACACCTTCTGGAAGTTGATTCGTGAAATACAAATAAAATACCGGCCCACTCTTTCAAGTTACAAAACTACGCTGACCCCTAATAAGCTTGAATGAACTCAGTAATGTTGGCTTAGACATTTCATACATCAATGCCTCTGATGACAAGATTGTTGTCAACGATGGAATAACGCGGAGAGGAGGGGTCAATTTCGATGCTATTCCTGAGCCAAGTGACTTTAGCCGCTGGTTTGGCATCGAGAACGGGGCAAGTGAGGATCATTTCAGAGGTGCCCTCTAGAACAACCTGTCGTGGTTCCGTAAATGAGATAGTCGGAGCTCCTAAAGTGGAAATAATCAAATGTACGTATCCTGTATTGCCTATAACGCGCACAATCAGCTCAGTCATTTCCAGTGAGCCCTGGTCATCAGGTACCTTTTTATGTCTAAGAATCCAAAGATTTAAGGGTGATAGGGCCCAATGACGCTTACTAGTCATCTTCCTTGGAGGTATTCTAAAATTTAGTGTTAAAACTTGGAATTTCATTCTTGATAGTTTTGAAACGTGACGTTATGAGTTTTGATCGGATTACATGAACATTTATTGCCAGCCTTCAATCGCCAATCAACAACTTGTAAGAAATATCTTGTGATTAGTCCTTTATCAAGCTCAGTTTTACCGACAGCTTACTTTATTTCCACCTTAATTGACACGTACATGTTAAAATTGAAACAATAGTCATGAAATGACTTTTAAAAATAACATTATTTTTGTTCAACGCAGGTATTTAAGAAAGCTATTTTGAAATGAAAAGTGGTTGTTCAAAGCATATCACTGAGAATTACCGTTGTTACAATTTCTGCAGGCATATTCAATAGCTCATTGGGCACCTGCTAAACTGACAGTTCCTGTGGAAAAATTATGAGAGCTCAGCAAAACCTATTTCAGTACGCCTCTGTTTACCATTTCTCAAATAGTAAATGTGATTATGGCTACAGTCTGATCTAGGATCAGGTCCTTTGACCAACATATTCGAAGTAATATCGTTTAAATGAGAGATGCGTAATAAAGACGAAGTTCATACGGTAATATGATTAGTCGGGGCGGTTTATTCTGAAAATAACAAGGAGACTCAAGAATATGAAATTTCTTTATGATAATTTATTTATTGCGAATCAAACTTCAGCAAAACACAAAAGGGTCTTAATATTAAAAAAACGTGACTCTCAACCTCGATACTGGGAATGGTGTGCAACTGTAAAAACTGTAAGTAAGCTAATTTACGTACTAATTCCTCCTAGCTCGACGGAGACGTGGTATTGGTCCCGACCATACGTATTTGAGGCTTCACAGACGAACGTGGTCCCATCTTCCATGTTGAGGTCTAAAGGTAGATTGTGAAAGGACACTAACTAAAAAAGAATTCCAGTTGAAGTGTACTAAGATAACGCGACACCGACTAGGACGTCTGTGTGCGAATATTTGTATCAGAACCTATCTTAGTCCATTGTTTTATAGCCACGTCAATTAGAGGAAATAGTAACATATTTGTTCCCTTGAAAAATGAACACTACAATTTAACAGATCACGCAGTCAAAAAACGTCTGTTCTTTGTAAACTGAGTATACTAATATCCAAAGGGAGACACATCGGTCTTGATAAGCTTCCAGCCGGCCTGTAATAATCCCTATTGTTTCTTCAGAATCTGTAATTGTGCGCATTGTGAAATTAAAGCAATAAAATTCTTGAGTAATTTCTTTCAGTTGAGATACCATCAAAAGTCTGTAACTTATATTCAGCTCGGCATTTAATTACTATTGGATTTCGGAAGTCACCTTGCCTAATACAGACAATCGGTTCTTAATAAAGACAAAGGCCTTCGGGTAAAACGACCTATAAGTATTGCTTACACTCACATAACAACTTTAACTCAGCAAAAGCTATTTATGTGAAGCTGTTTTAAAGGCTTTTGAAGTACTACTAAAAAAATATGCGTCAGATCATTAACCATGCTGAGGTGTCACAAATAAAATATTGGCGTGGTTTCTTGGAGTAACCGTTATTATCGTTTAACGGAAATGCCCCGTCAGTGTCTATTTACTCGTTATTAACTTTTGACCAATATTGCATCTCTGACCTCATGACTAAATCTTCCCTGAATACTGCTGAATCACAGAATTTCATTGATGGATGCATTTGTGATAAAATCAAACTTCCATATCGGAATGCTTGTAGTGAACTTTGACCAAGCTATGGGCAGCCCCTTTACACATGGTACCCAAGAAATCTGGAGACTGGAGACCCTGCAGTGATTACAGCGCCATAAATAATGTCAAAGTTCCTGACCGGTACTCCATCCCTCATATCCATGACTTTTCATTGGGTCTAAACGGTGCTAAAGTCTTTTCAAGACTTGATCTTGTTAGGACTTATCATCAGGTTCCTGTGGCCCCCGAAGACGTCCCGAAACCTGCCGTTATTACATATTTGGCCTATTCAATTTCCTACGAATGCATTTCGGTCTACGTAACGCAGCACAGACCTTCCAGAGATTCATGGATCAAATTCTCCGTAATCTCGACTTCGTCTTTGTCTGCATTGATGATATTCTCATCGCTAGCAAAGAATGAGCATTTGCTGCATCTCCGGGAGGTTTTTACTCGTCTTACAGCTTTCGGCATCACCAATAATCCTCAGAAATGTGTTTTTGGTGTAGACGCTATTGAATTCCTCAGACACCAGATTGACGCAGACGATATTAGACGCTTGGCTGCGAATACAACAGCGATTCGGAAATATCCAATGCCAGAATCGCCCCGTAGTTTACGCCGTTTTCTTGGTTTGGTCAATTACTATGTAAGTTTCATCCCACATGCCGCTGAAATTTTGTCTCCTCTGATTAACTTTCCTCAAGGCAATCCCAAGAAGCTAACTCTTACTCCGGAGGCTGAAGCTGTTTTTTTAGGCTATAAAAGATGCGATAGCAGAGGTCACAAATTTGTGCTACTGGAAGAAGGAAGCGAAACTTGTCCTACGAACAGATGCTTCCCAAACTGTGGTCGGTGCAGTCCTTCAACAAGAACTGGACGGTCATACTGAGCCGTTATCATTCTTTTCTCGAAAGCTTCAACCAGCTCAGACCCGTTACAGTACTTTTCCACTTTTGTCACCTACTGGAAGGACGTGAGTTTACCATTTTTACCGATCATAAGCCACTGGTTTATGCCTTTTATGCAGCCTCAGATACCTTGACTATGTTTCAGAGTTCACAACCCATATTGGCCACGCTGTCCCGATTCACTGTCCCGAGCACATGTCCATAACCTTTCAGTTCCTGGTCTCGATCTTGAACAGTTAGCTGCAGCGCAGATGGATGACCCTGAATTACAACAGTTTAATCGAAATTCTAGTCTAAAGCTGGAAGAGCTGCCACTTCCCCAATGTTCTACAAAAATTACATGCGATTCATCACTTGGCAGACCTCGACCCTTTGTTCTTGACCCATTTAGAAAACAAATATTTGAATATCTTCATTCTTTATCACACCCTGGTGTTCGCGCGACCGTGTGCTTGATACTTGACCGTTTTTTGTGGCCTAGCATTAGTAAACATGTTCGCTTATGGGCCAAACTTTGTATTCAATGTCAACCCACCAAAGTCCACCGTCATAATATTTCATAACCCGGACATTTTCCCCTTCATGTACATCTAGACCTAGTCGGACCCCTTCCGCCGTCTCGTGATTTTACCTATGTCCTAACTTGTGTGGACCGCTTTACTCGTTGGCCTATAGCAGTTTCTATTACTATAGGTGTTACCGGAACTGTTGCCCACGAAATTTATGGAATCATGGGTTTCCTTATTTGGTGTTCCCAGTTCTATTACATCTGATAGCGGCGCACAGCTTACATCTTGTTTGTTTCAAGACCTAAACCGCCTTCTTGGATGTAAGCATTGTCGAACTACAGCAGACCATCCAGCATCTAATGGCTTGGTTGAACATTTCAACCATTATTGAGAAAGCTGCCTTGAATCCCTGGTCTGACTCATTAACATTGATTTTATTAGCAATTCGGAATAAGGTAAACGAATATATTGACTCCACGCCAGCAGAACTTGCATTCGGTACAACTTTGCGTCTGATTGGTGAAATGGTCACTAACTCTGGTCACACTATTGAGTTCTCATCTTCATTGTGTCGATCAATAAAAGCACTTCATAAAGGAATTTAGACCAGCCCTTACAAGAACGTCCCCACGACATATCTTCAACGGTTTTGTGTTCATAAGGGGTCGGTCACAAAATCCACTTCAAAATTGTTTCGATGCTTTTAATGAAACAGACTAAATTATCATCAAAATTTCTTAATCAGTTATCACTTCATTTAGTTTTTAAATATGCCTCCTGAAGTCAGCTAGGTCCAACCCAATTCTAGATTGAATAAACCCTGATAGCAAGCGGTTATCAAAAGACCATATACACGTTTGGTCAGACTAATTTTCCAAACAATTTTCTTGATAGTCTGCAATTTACAATCGAAGCGTTAAAATTATTAACCTAAGCAAACCCTAAAAACAGTGCAAAGTTGTGGTTCATTAGGGTAAGAAAAACTTACTTGTGATATGCAGAGAATTGTCAGCAGCTAGAGTGTATCGATCGCCATAGGTAACGGGGACCTGGCTCTCCCCAACCACCTTGAACCACTTGATTTGGGGCGGAGGATTTCCATCCACGATACAGGGAATAACCAAGTCAGTTGAGAATTCCCCATATACGCGGTCTTGCATGGCACCTGTGTCCATTTTCGGCTTGTCTAGAACAAAGTCAGTCAGGTCTTTAATAATTTTATAGCAAATTCAGAAACGTGTAACCCCATTCGGTTTGCAAATGGCCCATTTTATAATGCGTCTATTCTTTTAAACAAATTCTCAATTTTACTTAGCTGTCAAAATTAATTTACAAAACCAAAATTTTTAATAAGAACTTAAACATTGACTACCTACTGTCCTGAAGCCCTAATTTATTTAGAATTTACATTATACTACATGCCCACCGTTAATTAACTTGAAACGTGATAATGTAACATCAAAGCTTTTAATTGCTTCGTTGAAAGTAATGCAAACATTAACATATTAGTTCAACTAGAACCTGACTCCACGGACACATTCGCACACAGTTTGCTTCTAGTGCATGTATTTGTTTATATCTCACTTCACGCCAGTGTATACAAACATGTCGCTTTCCAGTACAGCAGCACACATTATCAACACACTCGAAAATACTTGCTCCTGTTGCGGTCCTGTTTAACAGTTGTTCATGGTGAGATGATGTCTGAATTAGAGTTAATTGGAATAATTCCTGAAAAGTTTTTTACTTAAAATCTGATTTTTACAAAAAAAGTACATTGAAAAGGACATTGACAAGAATTTCAGCCTTTTGTTGTAGCTTCCGATCGAGTTGTCATTATCATCTGGCCTTAGCGCAAAATGATTTCCAGAAAATACAACAGATATCCTAATGTTCTAAGAACAAAACCTAACCGATGATGATCACGGTAAACACTAAACATACCACCCACACATAAAGTTTGATTCCAAATTACTTTCAGTCCAAATTTTCTGACCATCATTTTCTGATTAATCATTAAGAATACACAAATCTATCAAACTTTTTTAACTTCTGCGAGTGAAATTTTGGAGTGCGTTAGTTTTGTGGAACCTGAGAAAGACACCCTTCCCAACATTTGGAACGCTTGATCAAGATACCAGTGTTAAAACTAGTTTGCTACAGTGAGTTTATTATTAGGCAAACATTTCCCTTTATTTGTTGATATTTAACCGACCCTAAAACGAACCAACATATTCTAATAGACTTTTTCTGGTGTTTAAGGGTATAGAAATGCATATTAATATTTTTAAAAAACTTACATCGTACACATTTAAACGCGCATTTTTTGCGGTAGCAATATTTCATCAAAATTTCGCACTTTTGGAACCCAAGAGAAGGCTAAAACTTTTGTAGTTGACCCTCGAGAACTGTCGGTGGATTTGAGGTAAATTAGCGCAGAAAAAATGCTCAATAAAGGGCAAAACTGGAGACCAGACAGATCAGCAAACTCATGATCAAGGAATCACTGAATGCATGTTCCGAACATGGCCTAGTGCATTTCAACATAGTTCGCAAATTTCAATAAACTCACGTCCGACTTCCATTGAAACTGAGGTTCTGGTGCTTCCAGCCACATTTTCCGCAAAGCAGGTCCATTTGCCACTCATGTGGCGTTTCAGATGCAGAATTTCGAGTTCTCCAGTTGTATGATTCAGGCGAATATTGGCACTTTCTCCAACCTGTGAATTTAAAGCAAACGAGTAACCAGGTTTCTTGAAGAGCGCAACTGTGCCAACGGGGTATTCAGTCTGTGCTGCCAGGATTCATTACCGCGATGTACGTTTCTACTGTGAAGGATCACACTACGCACTCGGGGACGCCCTAGCCTAGGCCATTCAAGGCAATTTTATGCGATTGGCAGGCCACTCGCAAATTGAATTTCCGTCAGTCAGAATTACGACTTCGTTTGAAAATGCTGTATTTTGTGGGCACTTTAGAAATTTAGAAGAAACAAATCATATAAATAAGATTTTCGAATACGGTTTTTTTTATACATAAAAATACTTTAAAAAGAAAATTTGCATACAGTTTAACAGTGTTTATAGGGCATTTTTATAATGCCCAACAACTAAAGTCAGGGTAATCTTTATTACTATTTCGGAAAAATAATTAAATGCGTTTTCCAAAACGCCAAAGAAAGAGAATATAAGGCACCTTCAAATAACAGGTTTGAAAAATGAATGTGAATCAGTCAAAATTAAAAAAGGAAACAATTTGGTAGAAAAGCAATTAATATTGGACATTCAAGTAAAATAGTGTTAAAATTTGGTTAGTCCATATTAGTTTTCATGCCGAATTAATGTAAACACAATGTACCTTTCCTTCTAGCTCTCATACGGTTATGATCTGCATGGCTATTCATCACCATAAATCAAGCAACTTCGTACAAAAGAGATATCCGAAAATACCCCAGCATTACAAAGGGCTATCAGTTTGTGTCGCTACTGAAGTGAACATTTTGCAACCAAATGATGAGGAAAGGAAAGTGAGCTAAACAGATTCCACCGCAGGCCTCTGGTTATAGTTTACAGGAAACGATTGCGCAACTCACCTCCAGACGTTCTACAGATTTTGTATCATATTTCTATGATAAAGGCCATCGTTAAATTTGGCCAGTTTACCTTTTTTATTTGCGAGTGTATTCATTTGATCAGACTGAAATCACTAACCACAAAACTTTACATTATAATCTCCGGAATTACAAGCTTACATGAGTTTGGCATCAGTACCTAACTGGATAAACAGGGTCTATTACATTCACACAAACACACGTGGTACTTCATTGGAAAGTGATCTAATACAAATTCAAAACTTGAGGACCCAGAGCTGAAGAATAGTTTTTCGTAATAGAAGAACCAATAATCTGTGGTCCATTCTGGAAGGAGTTAAGGTTGCATAAGTTAAGAAAATGTAAACCAGAATTAACTTACATCGAATACAAAGCAAACATTCCAAACCAAGTTTGGTAACGAGAGTATTCAATGGAAAAGATTCTTTTAAAAATCTGTAAATTTTAAAGATGCTAGTCTTACAGGACTTCCATTGAACTCCCACTTAATGAGTGGTGGGGGTCGTCCATTGGCTAGACACCGCAGCGTCTGCATTTCACCCTCCTGTGGCATTTCTCGGGCCATGTCGATTCGGACGATCTCGGGACGCGCGATAAAATGCGCCATAATGTTTGCTTGTGCCTCACCAGCCGAGTTGACCGCATAACACGAGTAGCGGCCTGCGTCAGTGGCATCCGCAGGGGAGATTATAAGACGAGATTCCTGCAAACAGAAAACAGGAGAAAAGCATAATTTCTCACTAAGCTAACAACAAGGCTCACAAAATCGCTTTTTCATTAAATAACCAGTCAGTACTAAATGTCCCTATGCATTTTAAGATGTACCTAAAATGTGCATCAGGAATAATGACCTCAAATTTACAATCCTTTGATGCTATTTAATAGTGGAAGAATTCGAAAAATTTGTCGGGTGTTACTAAATGTTTTTTTCCTTAACTTTAAATCCTCCTCCTAATTATGCCACGACTAAACTGCATCAAACGTGGCGAGAATCAGGTTGGCCACTGACGACTTTTCAGTCCCACCAAGGGTGAAGTGTAACGTTCTGTTTAGCTGTCTTAGCGATTCATCTTAATTTTTTTTCAATTGGGGAAGTGCCACTTTGTCTGAAATCGAATCACAAATAGGGGAACCACGAAACACGTTATGGGTAGTTTTTTTGCTCTTCCTCCACATCCATTTTCGGTGTTTCATTTTTAACATGCAAAATGGTTATTCAGTTTTTGTTTATTTTGTTTGCTTACTCATTTATCAATTAAATGCAACATATTCTATCTGTTGCAAAAGCAAAAAATTAAATCACTACAAAAGTTAAACCACATGTTAATCACTATCAAAAAGAAAAGACTCAAGCCTCGAGAACTGAGATTAGTTTCTTAGCACGAGGATAAGTACTTGGGCTCTCAATAGTACCTTTGATTATGTGTAATTTTAATTCCACAGAGCTTGATACACTTTAGTAAATAAATCACTGTGTAGTTGTCAAGACGTTCGTGGTTGCTCACCTGTGGCTTATAACTAGAAGCCTGACTTTGCAGATTAAGGTGAAGCTGTTTTGTATCGATGCCTCCCCATCGCCATCATCTGTGTTTCACACCTCTGTTCTTCCTCTTTTACAAAAGCATCATATAAACACACCCGCACACAACACGATGAATCACCATGTCTGGCGAGTGAAAAATATTCCCCTTTTTACAACCTTATACGTTTCGACGGGCATTTTCGAAACCGCAGTCAGTTGGTGGAATCTGTGTGACTCACTTCAACATTAAGCGATTGACACAAATAGTACATTTTTCTTGCACGATAGTACATTTGCTGACCACAATATCAATGGTACACCCTATTCATCTTCCACGTTGCCTTTCATAACGAATTTGAAGCATCAAGATTTCAGTATGTACTCCTTTCTGCATTTACAATTTATAAGGCGGATTTGCTTACAATATACTTATGGTCAAACTTCATAGTGAAAACACTGCAGATCAATGGTCCTTTGGGCAAGTGCTCAAAGTACGACTTAATCCATTAGGAAATTGAGCATTATTCAATGTACCGTTAATCTGAATACTTTACCATGTATTCGTCCAGGATCATGGTTCTCAACGGCTCCATTTGCAGTTCGTTGCCACGCGGAATGGGGACGTCGTTGAAACTCCATGAGATCTCGGGAGGCGGGTGACCCTCAGCTCGGCAGGACATGACCAGTCTCCCACCCTCTTTGAACTCAACCTTCTCACTTTCAGCCACAATACTTGGTCGAACTAAACAAACATGCGTAATTCCCACATTTACATTCTTGCAATGTTATCCAAAAGGGGCCTTGTTCAGGTTCGTACTATTGGTCTGAATACGATAAGTAGTATAGTGTGTTTTAACAAAGACCCTGAATCCCGAAAGGTTTTTAGGTGAGAGGATCAACAGAAATCTTTTGATATACTTACTGTGTGTCGGTAAAATTGCACCAAATCCTAAGTAAAAAAGTGAGCACTTGGCGTGCAGCATTCGTCTAGTAAGTTACATATTTGGCACCAGGATCAATTTAAATCCTTCAACAAAAAGAAAAAAATTTAACTGATCAGACGCCATCCAAAGGTCTACAGTTGTCATCTTTACTAATCTGTTAGAGATACCGATATCCCGACATCGGCATCTCATTCCGAATTTCTGCGAAAATATTATTACGACTTAGGAACTTTGGCTATTAACAGATTGGGAGGAAACCATCAAGCATCAAAGTGTGTATGATTCAGTGGTTTCATGTCGTGAAAGGAATATCAAAAGTTCGAAATGACTCTGGTTAACGAGAACATCCGAAACTACAAATGGTATAAGGGTGCCAGGAGATCATTTGTCAAAATCTAGAGTTAATTATTAATGGTTTTCTATTTAGTGGTATTAGTTAAAAAATTCGTTAAGGGTCCCAACATTTAGTGAAAGTTTATAATGGATATTGATTAAGCGTGAACCACGACAGGTTTTTATTTCAGTTGGTTGGCCAAGTAGTACAGGGTTGATTTATTCAAACGAAATTATTCAGGACTTCATCTATTGAAGAATGTCGCCTAAGGTTGCAATTACGAGGAGCATGAATTTCCATTTAAGTCACCAAACCACGATGTACTTAATGAGCACAAAGTACATGAATAAATTTCGAATTTAACGTTAGTCTGTAAATATCTTCTGCTGCGTTTTCTGTATTATGGACAATAGTGTCGATGTAATGTAACTTCAATTAAAATGCACCTTGATGGTGGAAGTATCTGGAAAAAATGCAAGGAAGTGATATAAAAATTAGACTGCTTAAGTTGTGCAGTCATCAATTAAATTTTGTTGCGATTAGATTAATTGAATATTTGTAGAGATCTTTACCGATATATATCGAGAAACGTTCTTACTACCTCATTTGTACACAACTTTCGGACAAATCACCTTGAGGTTTTTCACTCACAAACAAACCATCCAGAACAAGATTACGTGTTGTGAAAATGAATTGTATATTACTGTTGAAAAAAAAATGCGGATTTTGATGTCACACCAAGTACGTATTTTTTCCGTGAACAGTAAAAAAGAATGCGAGTCAATGAGGTGCTTACCATGAATAACGACAAACCCGACAGCCGAACTGACGCCGCCTTTGTGCACGGCCTCGCAAACGTACTGTCCAATGTCACTGTCCTGAACATTCCTACAAAATCACGACAGATGCGTCTAAATCTTTCATCATATTTTTATCACAAATAATCAACCCCATTCGCATTAATTTCAAGTTTATGTGAGCACAATCTGAGAGTCAGTCAAAGGCCTTATTTAAAACGTTTGTCTTAGATGAAATGTTACTCGGACATTTAGTTTGCACATGTGTTTAAGTGAAAATTGTTTGATTGACGCAAACTAAGCAAAATGCGATTATGTTAATGAATCCTCCACATTTAGTTTACTTCACCTAAAAACGAGAATTCAACCACATTTAGAAATTCAGACAAGTGTTTGGTAGTTTCCGTTGCCGACCCTCCTCGGCACAGGCGAAACCCAACCTATCTGGACACGATTACGTGAACTGGGCATACTTCATCCTGTCCAGGTCTTTTTCAAAATACACAACAACAGAACCCAAATTGCGAAAACACTCCCCATGCATATGTGGTTTAAACCGCTGTCGGTCATTATTTCTGCCAGACATCGGAAGGAGCGATGTTTACCTGCGCTAGTTTACTCTCAGCAAGAAATAGTTAGGTGTCCTCAATGGATAGAAAATAGCTGCTCGCTTACTATTATACAGCAATTTTCATTCGATAACATCGGTCAAAAACGGCGAATCAAAGTGCTTCTAGGTAAAAACTCACTTATTTAAATCTTCTGAAAATATTACGAAAAGTCGATCTCTATACGGAACTGTGCTCAGATATAACAGTGTATTAACTTTGGCAAATTCTGTTGTCCGGATGCCACTACTTTAAGCAAACCAGTGTGTAGAAACTCGCCACCAGGTCCCATTTCGAAAAGCATGAAGTCTTTTTTTGTCTTCTATCACAACCAAATGTCGCACTTAGAGCGAAACATTGCAGTGGACTGACAGCCACCTCCCGTGAGTGATTCGTGCATGAGGGCCCGAGTGAACCAATGACTCACCCCTTTTGTTATTGGCCTCTGTCAGCATTCGACTGTCACGCACGCGTACTCATACGCCCACAAAGCCACCTGGTTGGTTTGATAATAGTAAGCGGTCGTGTTCTCTGTCGCCGCTTTTCCCCCTTTCCTCGGGTAGATACGGGCTGTTAACTCGGGGTATTGCGAAATACCCACTACATCCCCATCCTGGCTTTATTTCAGTTTGTCAAACGTACACTTTTTATGCTTACTCTCTTAAAGTTCATCAAATCTTCACATATTTTGTTCCGTCGGGTTTTCCTAGATTTACGATCAGCCTACGTTTTTTCCGACACTTGAAAGCCATCTTTAGGAATTGTGAACATTCTAGACTGTTAAGAGACTTGAAGCTTTTGCAATCAAAACACACATGCACTTCTCGACATTCTCATTTGATACGATCCGGATAGTTCAGTTAAGGCAAATGAACTCCACTAAAAAATTAACCTATTGAACCCATGACCACTAAGTGAGGTGAGAAATTTGTTGATAATTATCTAACTAGATGGCTTTATACATTTTAACCATAATTAAAATCATGTCGATTTAAGTCATCCACTGAATCTCAGAAGAAATTATACGCCCTCATTATTCATGAATTTCATTTACGGTCCATATACATACCGGTCGCAGCCCATGTCCACATGACAATGGGTCCACAACATTGCAGTTAAGTTTTCGTGTCCATTTTTTAAACATTTCTAAGTAAGAGAACACAAATTAGATTGAAGTGATACCGGAAAGTGGTTTGCTCGTGTGATTATGGATTATTGACTTCCGTCAAAACTCACGTGATTTGCAATGTGCTGGTAAAGGTCTGTCCCCCAGGCGACGTATCACCTCCACCAGACATATGAATGGAGTGTCTGCGTCCATCTTTTACTTTAAAACGCACATTTTCGCCCCGATACCAGTTGATTTCCACTTTCTCCGCTTGTGAGAAGGCTGTGCACATGAGGCGAGCAACGCCATTGGGCTCAACACTGGCGTTTCGAGGAATTAGAACGGTGGGTGGAGGGGCTGGAGGAAACATTTAAAAGTTAATTTTAGTGTATCCGATGGAGTCCTGCGCTCCAAATGTACACTTTTGCCAATACCTGAATGATACGCACTGTAGTTCAGCATGGCAGGCGTATTAATAGTGATCCTATTCTGAAAAGTTTCATTCTTCCCACCAAGCTTCTAAGTCAGTGCCTGTTACTAATGACCCTCAAAAATCAATGTCAGAACAGAATATGCAGGGATATTTGTGTTTACGCAAGTCTATTTTTTTCAGAATGTCTATTGGGTATTGCGTTTCCCAATTTAATATCTGATTTTAACCCTACAATTGTTTTGGGATTGCGCAATCTACCATCACAAAGAATGAGTCTTCTTTGTAATACTGAGGAAGCCAATGGAGTCCGGAAGAACGGAAAATAATTCGATGTCGGTTACTCAGACTTTAAATAGTGGTTTCATAGATTACCTATTTTAAAACTGATTTCTGTATACTACCTCGAGTCATCAAAATATGCAAGTCAAAGCATAGACAAGGTCAACAATTATGAAAGACTCGTTTGAAGGTCATTACTATGGAAACTTACGAAGAATTACCACAGCTATCTCATCTTTTCGTTGGGTCTCGGGCCCAACTTCAACTCCAGTTCCAGTTGCTACCATCTCCACGGCGTAAATACCCTGCGATTCTTCGTTCACATCGAACAACGTGTAGGTCACATTTGTTGGTACACTGAAAATGCAAAACATGTATTTGGTTCGAACAGAAATCAGATACTAGTAATACGTTGGCATCTTCTGAAGATATTCAAAGCCATGTTAGGCAAAGCTTGATCACTTGAATAACTTAAAGTGCTGTAAGCAAAAACCCACTTCAACTGATTTTTTTTTACTTTTTGGCAAGACCCTTTGAAAAAGCAGCTAAATTTTAATGCTAAGTTTTTGACAAGGTAATATATTAGCATTCCTAATACAGAGAGCTTCTGTGAACTGGCCAGTGAGAGCTAAATAATTTTATCACTGTTTCTTTTATTGGGTGATGCTTCCATATCCTTTCAAGCCTGTTCGTAATTTCTTCAATCTTTCTCCCATAGGTTACACTATCCTTGTGGAGGGAATGTGATATTTTCCTTCCTCGGCTTTTAGAGAGCAGCTTTCGGTGGATCTCTCTGCCAATCAAACCCAGTTAGAAGAAGTAGAGCAGATAAATGAAGAGATTTCTGAAGGGAAGTTTGTTAAAAGCGTTCAAACGAGGCAATGTTTGCACGAAATATACCTAAAGACCTGATGTTCTCCGGGAAATCCGGTGAGTTGACGGTTATTCTGGTACCACTTGACACTAAATGGTATCTCACTGTCGATAAGGCAAGTCAAGTGTGCTGTTGCCCCACGGGCTACCTCCAACTTGGCTGGACAAGTAACCACAGCTGGACGGGCCTCACGAGCAAGAAGGGCAACTTTGGAGTAGCGTTGAAAGTTGTAGCCTTGGTTGTCTCGACCACTGACCTAGAAGTTGGAAAATTGCTCTATTCAATAATTTTTTTGTTTTCTAAACACACTCGAAAAACACAGCCCCTCAAGTAAGCTTCAGAGTTTAAATTCAATTAAAATTTACAGCTGATTAAATGTGGCGATTTTAGCGTGAATATGATATAAGACCCGAAAAATTGGAAAGACTGGTGTCATGAGAAAAGTCCCTACTACCTAGCTTGTACACAAATTTCTGACAAATTTCTTATCACCTTGTGGTTGTTTACTCACAAACAAACTTCTTAGAACACGATCAAGTGTTGCGATCAGTTCGAGTCATTTGACGTCCAGTTCGTACTAATACTCACTTTATTGGTATAAGTTAAGTTTTACAGAATTCATCAAGTGCTTATTTGGGCTGTTTACCAATTGGTGCAAACTTGAAAGGCCCTAAATTGCCTAAAGGCTGTGCATTTAAACCAACCTGGAGGTAGTAGTGGCCAGGCACTGAGTCCATGGCGTGCTGGCTAACATAAACCTCGCTGCCTGGGGTTCGTTCGACAGGCACCCGAACCAACGCGGTGCCGTTCGGGGCGCGCAGGGTGACGGCGTCCACACTTCCGGATAGTAGGCGCCCAGTCATGTTGACCATTACGTAGTTCTTGATGCCTAAGAGCACCAAAAGTTCGACATCAATTATTTCACTTTACTTTCAACCGAAATTATCCTAGGAGTTAGCACTTTACGTGTTTGTAGGCACGTTATTAATCGTTGAATTTGATTACCATGAATGGCCAAGTAAAACCCATCATAGGCGACTTGAAATAAAAAATAACACAAATTCATATCTAGCCTCAGTCATCACAACAAACCACTAAAATCCAACTCCTAATTTCGGGGATAAGTAAAGTATTTATCCTCGCGATTCCAGCTATTCTATGATACCTCGCTGTACCTCTCCTACAAATTTCTGGCCACTCAAAGATTTATTCAATTGCTCTTCGGGACGTTTCAGGTATATTCCTTTGACGCTATCTAAATGTTGGGTAAACGCGAGAGACGAAGGCGAGAAATTCAGGGAAGGAAGGTGGCGTTTCTTCCATTACCCTCCTGAGACCATCTTGATAAGATTGTAGTAATTCCGAATTTAATGTGTCATGTTTTATAAAGTTAGGCCTTTGTTTTTCTGCGTTGTAGTCAACCTGGCATTCATTGTTTGCTGTTGACTTTTTCATGAAGTTAAATTCACCTTCCCCTTACCATCAATTGGCTGTCTGGAAGCGCCACGGTTGAATGGTATTGGATTAGCAGCAAATCCTGGCACGAAATCGACATCACTTATGCCTGAGACTCGGACGGAGTGCCATTGGCCACCAGTTTTTTCCTCTCTTGAGATACTAGGAGACCCGGCAGCATCCGTACTCACCTCAAGAGTCCAAGTACCGGGTGTTGGATGGTCAATAGAAGCCACAAATACACTAGGAACCGTTTTCATTAATTGCCTCAGACCATCCTCCTTGGTAATCAGTTTGCCTGAAAATAAAATAAAGGCTATGTTGCGATGTACCACACTTGATTTCTGTCTTTCGATGGTCATCTCTTATTAAATGTGACCGGCTCACCGAGCCAAGCAACAACTCAAAGCTGTCAGATTAAAAGAAAAGCAAATTAATAAATTAGCGTCTTAACTAATAACGCTAATAATCGATCTGAGAAAACTTCCAAGAAAAAGAAATCCCAAGCTTTCTTCCTTTTTCCCAAACAATGTCGTTTCTCGAGTTAATTTTCTTTTCCTCTGCGCCTGCGTTAGTAATAAGTCCAGCTTAAATCCACTATGTCATGTCCCAGTCACATCCGAAAGCCGTACTCGTGCTCCTGTGAATGCTTAAATTGTTCGTCTGATTTTTGTCACGTTTTCGTTGTAATCGCTTCATAAGTTTTGCCTTCTTCAGTTTAACTAGGCTCGAAATTACATTAGGCTGAAGAAAAAAATTTATTCTCATCCACTTTAATATGAAGGCCACTAACATGACAAGTACACTTCGTTTGCTGAATTAGTAAGGGGTGGGGCTATGGTTAGCCTTTGAGAATCAGTGACGCATCAATATACTAATCCACTTTTCAAAAAACTTCACATCGATGAGCTTTTTAAAAAAGTATAATAAGGCATGCAATTATGCCTGTGATTTCAACACCTTGAAACAAACTCTTAAATATATCGTATTTCCTTTGATTCCTGCCTTACTAATATTATAGTAAAGTTAAGATATAGTGCTCTTTGACCTTTCAAAAAACCTAACAGAAAATTTCAGGCAACTTAGGTAGGCTTATCACCTATTCTAATGGAAAGCAATTTGTGCTATCACACACAGTCGCAATAAAAAGATTTGGATACTTGGCTACGTTTCGATATAAACAAACGAATTTCAACTACGCTCTGTTTGGAACGAGAATAAATAAGTTTAGGCGGTAGGAAGTAATGCGGTGTAGACAAATAAGACGTAATTGTAAGTAACTGAAATTAATCCAACTTTCTAGAGCTAGAAAATATACACTGAACTCAAACAGAACATGCGATTGTTGAAACAAAACATTGACAGCTTGTTAAAAGTGATTCATAAGCACCAGTAGATTGAAAGACAAGGTTATATGTAGCCTTCGTGGCATGTCATATTGATTCTCACGAATCACGGTCTAATTTGGACATTTTTGTACCTGTGAGGTAATGATGACAAAATCAAACAAACTAAAGTGGATTAGCGTCCTAATAATAAAAGCATTTTGTCTACAAATGATTGGCTATGGGTTACTGTAGATTCGTGTTAAATTTTGCCCTCATAGAATAACAAAAGGCTATCACCTAACCCTCAGTTGTAGCACCTTATCTGTATGAAGTCAACACATAGGCGAGTTCATGTTTATCCCTGTTCTAAATTTTAGGCCTTGGATGAATATTAAGTAATTCGATTACTTCACAATTCAGTTTACCTTCGGGATTGCGAATGCCCACTCTAATTGAGTCGTTGGTCTTGTAGTTGGTCACTTGAATGGTTACCTGCGAGAGGTGAGTGTCGACTGGAAAACTGTATGTCTTGGCCGATGTCTCCCAGTTATCTTGCTGAAGAACTTGAACCTTCTGTGACTCGACAGCCGCCTCAATGACGCGCATAAACTAACAACAAAAACTCACAAGGTCAAGAATTAGATTTATGAATGCGAATAACAAAACTTTGAAAATTTTCCAATGTTAAGATAAGAAAAAATATCTTGTCAGTATCAAAACCCGTATCAGTCAGTTTGGTTGGAGAGACGTCAATTTGAATAGATTGTACTTTACCAATACTTCACACAAAAATTTAATACTCTCATTGTAACTGTGCATATTATGTTTAAATTAGCTTGACACGTTTTTAGCATACACGTTTTGATTTAAAATTGCGGTGAGGGAAAGCATAAAATTGCACTTATAGATGCCATTATTTCTTGGCCGATTAATTAAATGAAGTTTAAATGTTCTATTTTTAATTGCAGAACGGTAAATGGACTATATATTATGGAAATGTGCCTCATTGTAATATTTGAGCTCTTAAAAATCTTAGGTAGACTTACCTCGTTCACCTGACGCTTTCCTATGATATAGACTTGCCCTGAGCTGACTGTAGCAATTTCCTGATACGCTTGGAATCCAAGTTCATCCGTGCTGTTGCAGAATCCAGTCAAGACAAAAACAACCTGAAATAAGTGAAAAATGATGATATAACCAGATTGATTGCCAATATATTTTAACCAAACAAACAGGATTTGATATAGAGCCGAACGCTGCTGAACCTGACGGGAAAACAATGCGTCATTTGGTTAGCTCAACCAGAGGTCGCTAGATCTCTTGAATCAGCTTTTGCGCATTCAGTTTTACAGTAAACCAGCGTATCGTTTGTTTTTTCCCAAATCCAGCTCATCAGTGTTACAATGCTATTGGTCTGTCAGAAATATGTTCATTTAGAGATCCTGAAATAGATTGTGTTTATGAATGTCTGCTAAGTAATTAACAGTATCAAACTCTTGTGTCAGATTAATGTATAATATGGTATTTAAAGGGCCGCATATAATTTTACACTGCAGATTTTTGAAAGGCTCTAAAAAACAATGCTCGAATACTGACATAATTCTGTGATAGTTATATAGCTGAAATACTGGTTTGTGGCTTTTCTTTGCTGCTCTGTAGCACAACTGGTGTTAATGCAGCACTTAAATCCGACATAGTTAATATTTATCATATGTAGTTGTCTAGATCGTTCGATTGCTTCTAACGGAATTTTGACGAATGCATGAACCTTGAACACAGAGTCACCAGTGTCGGCTTTTTCGACTAAATCAATTTAGCCAGACGACGGAGGCTGCAATTGTGCAGGTCACAGGTCAGGTGTTCATGACTATAATAAATTTTGGCATATGCAAATTTAAAACCAAATAGATTAATCTAATCCATCTTCCCACAGTTTATGGCCACGTGAATCAGCGAATCTTGTGTCAAACATCTAGTATATGTGGACACCAGAAGCATAAGTCTGTAATACTAATCCGACCTGACACTTACAACCAAGCGACCAAGGGTAGATAATTCGAAATATGTAAAACTGCACCTTTAACAGTGTTTTGAATTTCAAATAAATTTAAATTCAAGAACATTCGTCTTTGTAATGTTTTAATTTGGACAATAATTTGGGGTGTAGATAGCTTGTTCTCAGTTTCATTGAACGGATAGTGACATTAGCATCAAACTGGTATAATTGTGGGATGTCAGCTGCAATTTCCTACCAAACATTAGGAATTTCAGAATGAATGCAATCATTATTAAAAGAACTTAATATAATTCTTGAGTGTATCCTAAAGGAATTTAGTATGTTATTGAGTCAATCGAGCCATCCTAATTTATCTCTAAAATAGATTATTGACTTAAAATTGTGACACATTGAGTTTTAAAGCAAGGATAACGGAGTTTGTGGGAAGACGCCTTTAGTACACTAATTAAAAAAAGACTGACATTGGCCAAGTTGACCTCAATGCGTTGCAGATAGAATTCACAGCCATTCTTGAAAAGGTGATGGATCCGGGGGTATGTTCTCACCCAATCTAATTCGTTGTTACTTTTTTATTTAACATCCTCACAAATCCAGAATCTTCCTGCTCGATTCAAGCTGAACGCAACACCGTTGTTGGGTCATGGTTTGTCAAGGTTATCTGGTAAATTTTGACATATCTAGCTACGCAAATGCAAATTAAACTTGACTTCAAACAGTAGTGTGCAGTATAAATTTTTTGCAAGTCTGAGTAGTGTCACAACAAAATTAATGTAATGAAATGACACCTAAAAATCACTAAGAAGACTAGAAATGCCAACCAGAAAATCAAACCAATGAAATTCAAAATTGTCAAAATATTATATCACTTAACTCAAGTAATTTCTGAAACGACAAGTGCTCTAGCGTCCACCGAAAGCTACAATCGGTGTCGACTCTAGCCACTGCTCGGATATTACAGAGGCAACTTTGGTTTGTGTCGTTACATCTTATAGTGATTGCAGATGACATACCAACTCTCAACTATTCAAGTCTTTTCCACCGAATACGTTGCTAAGACCATACGTGGCAAAATGCGGCACCCAAACAGCAGCAAATTTTGTCAAATACCAATCATAGAACTTTTGCGGAAGAATGCAAAAGTCCTAATATAGACATTCCAAGATGGTTGCAACAATAACAGCATACTGGTGACCATTACGCTTTTACTGATCCTCTAAGCAGCCATGGGCTTAAGAACCTCGACAAAAAATTTCAAAAGCTTTAAGTTGTATGCGAAATCAGGCCTTATGACTGGACACACAAAGGAATAAGTTTTTCCGGGCAAGTGTTTGCAATTGTAGGATTTTTAGATGGTGTTAATTCAATAGAATAATTCTCGACAGTTTTTGGCATATGCTGCACAGCTTGGGTAAGTTGGCTTGGATGGTTGAGATGGGTGGCCAACTCAAACAACAGCGAATGCATTTAAACGCTTTCTAACTGCCATGTTTAGTTGTTTACAATAAGGCTTATGCACTTGATCTTTTTTACGGAAAATGGGGACTGATGCTTATTTGGTATCATAGGTTTTAATTAGTTTTAACAAGCTTCAAATTTTGAATTTTCAAATGAGCAATGTACTAATTCAATATTTCCAGCGTGCCTCGAAGATGGGGCTTTCATCTGAATAAACTGAAGCATCTATTGAGGGCAAATGCTCTGTTTTTTGAGTTACATTGAACTAGTTTAATTATTATGGTATTCGAGGGCTTAGGAAGTAGCCTGATATCCTTGACTAATACAATCATGTTTCTTTACGCTATGTTTTATGAATGCAGAGTATTCCTGATAGTAAATGCGTG